CAGAAACCTGAATTGATCCCAAGGTTGAACCAAGGCTGTGTGCCAAGAAACATGGAAGGGAACCTTGGCTGCCCTGCACAGTAGGCCTCTACTTCACTGACCTTTTCCAGCATCTGTTGTTGCTTTCTGCAGAGAAATAAACCTTTCCTCTTCTAATTTTCCCAGATGGGCTTTTACAAAGTTCCAGAAAACTAGATAAAGAGAAATAAAACACAAATAAACTTGGTCACAAAATCAAATAGTGTATACAAGACAGTCAAATGCGTCAAGGAAAATTAGAAGAATATGAATAAGTCCATAGTACATAAATAATGTTGAGCCCTTATTCCAAGATCCAATAATAATTTATTGTCAGTTATGATAACACAAAATGTTTCTTTAACCCATTCGTCCCTGCACTGCAAGTTCAGATCCATGTCCCTGGTGTTGCTTGTGATTTCATCATTTTAAACAACTGAGTCATATACTTTGTGCAGGAGAAAGAGATCTTTCAAACAGTACCAAACTTATCACAATTTAGTCAAGGTTGCCGGAGAAAAAAGGCGAAACACCATTTATAAAGTGAACCTGAAAATTTTGTGTAGTTCCTTCCATTTAATCCTACAATCCCAAAAGCATTTCCCACTGAAATGAGGCCTACATTGTATTAAATAATGCTCAGCAAAACAAACAAATAAACAAAAAAGTGGGAAACAAGAGAAAAAGAAGTGGGAAGGAGTGAAAGTGCAAGGAAAAAGTCAAGATTGCTGTGTCACTTTTATATCAGAAAAGTATCTCAAAACTTTTTTGCTTTCTGCACATGCATGAACTTTTGGAAGCTGATATTTTGCAACTGGACTATGAATGCCGCTAATTATCCACCCACCTGCCTCTGAATCCAGTTTAACAATTCCTGCAACTTGACCCACTTGTCTATAATAAAAGTAAATAAATTAATAAAACATTAAAGATCAAAGTTGAACTCATTTTACATAGTCCACACACAAGAAAAAAATTGATGCAGATTAGCAAAATTAATTTTGCTCTACCGTACCTAAATGCACTAGCTCTTGTCCTTTTAAAACCATGTTGAAACACTGCTTCATATTGAGTCAAAAGACAAACAACCCTAAAAAAGAATAGAATTATTAAACTACAAGGGGAAAAGTAATGTTTAAAACTTCTTTAATCTCTAATTTTTCAGGCAAAGTTTCTTGTCTAAGAAAACAATGCAATGGGAAGGCTTAAACCTGGATATGAGGTTTCCAGGAGGTAAATTGCTTGACCACTGCACTTCTAGTACAACAGGGCAATATTAAGTTTCACCTTGTTAACTAAGGGATCTGGTGTACACCTGCTAACCCAGTGGTTCAAAGGATGTTTTTCTTTGCCATTCAAGGTCACTGATGACCTACACTGGGGCCAACCCCTTTTAGATCTGTGTTCCACCATTTTTATTGCAATAATTTCTAAACAGCACAACATTAAACCTGGGAGAGCATATAACCTAAATCTTTATTTTTAGTAGTCTAAATTTTAGTCAATTTTGAGGTGGAAAAATCATTAAAACATACTCAATACCTGCTGTCTCCATCAGTTGCAAGTTCAGTTTTACCTCCAAATCTCACCTGACACTGAAATTTATCGAAAAAGCTGTTTTACTAAATAAAGCCAATAAAGCTGGGTGGGGTTGGAACGGAGAGGTGTTGTGGGATTGGGATTCACTCAGTACATATCTGGGACTCTAAGGCGCTTTCCATTTGTCAGATCTGGCCTGCCGGACCAGTCAGTTAGCAAAGGAAATCGGCTTTTTCCAAAGGGTTTTTGTTGAAAAACCATCTCCTTCATGCATACTATTTAGGATTTGTCTGATCTGGCTGGAGAGTTCTGATTAACAGTGAAATTCTCATTACAACGGCAATGGTCTGGTTGGTCAGTTCTGACAAAAGGAAAGCGTACTTGTTACTCTTTTCTACATATGTTAACACTATAGGTGATTTCCTTTGGGATGATATGGATTAGATCAGTGATCCAAGTGATCTTGATTCATGGTACATGAAATTAACATATGAATCCTTTCTTAGCGTGGACTCGTCACTTCCTTTGATGCGCTATGATCTGAGTGATCTCACATCACTGATCCTGATCCGGATCATCCCAATGGAATGCACCCAATATTCAGCAGCTCCTTTGTGTTTCCTATCCTAGATTTATACTTTATGGCTATACAACTCAATTTAATGTAAACTGGCTTATCCAAGTGATCAATCGTTGAGAACTCTGATTGGTCAATAATTTAGCCACTTACAATCGTAACATTGCCCATTTTTGGAAAGAAACCAAGTACTCAGATAAATAGATTACATACTCAAGGGGATACATAGATAGATAGATAGATATTCTGCTTATTTCACCCACTTGCAATTGTTCAATGACTCCAATATTATTGTTGGAGGGAGGTAACAAACAGGGAGCCACTTGTCATACAATTTTCGTAACAAACCATTTTGTCCTTACCTTTTTCGCAACAAATACAATTTACGAATTGTGAACGTTTTAATTAAATCATCGAAATTAAAGAATTATACTGCACGACAAACAGGAAGAGGGTAAATTACGAAAAGTTTCATGACCGCCATCATGGATTTGAGCTTTCCAGGACAGCGGACCATCACAGCTAGTTCGTGTATCCCTCACGATAGTGTATACATGCCAGGACCACGTGCCGGAAAGTCTGAAAATGGCTTTTTTCGTTGTGATACCTGACTCCAAATATTACAAAATGACTCCAAAATTTGTAAAGCAGAAGTCACACCGACTCCACTCATCAATAAAATTTGCAAACCCTGATAGATATTCTGCTTATTTCACCCACTTGCAGCAATAACTGAATATTATTGTTGGGAAGGTCATTGTCACATACAATTAACCATTTACATACATTCACTGAACTTTATAAGTTACAAAGTCATTAATTCTTTTGGTATGACCATGTTGACGTCTTGAAAGTTGGACCCTTATACTGTAATGAGACTCAATAGCAGCAGGAGAGGGGATGATGTTCTTAAGGGGGGGGACATTTGGCGTGCAGTAGCCATAAACCACTTACAAGCTCCTACTCTCCTGCCACTAAGAGACTCCAGGCCAGCCAGGACCAAGACCATATACATGTCAATATTGAAATGCAAACCACACAATTTCTCAAGGCTTTGAGCCAGATATTACTTTTTCAACAAAAAAGGCTTAACAGTCCACTTTGAGTGTTCTTTTTTTTTTAAGATGAATTTATTTTTAATTAGGGGAATCAACAGGCGTTAGGGGTCAGTAGGAGGTCATTGCTTTCTTTGACTCCTGTTTTGTTCTATGATTATACGGAAATCTTGCCTTAACATCTCATGAAAACATGCCCTCTAAACGTTTAGGACTAACATTTGAGGCCAGAAGAAAGAGAAATATTAAGGATTCAGCTCACAGTACGTCGCCATGCATTTCGTTATATTTAACTGACAACGTTGGGAATTGTTTTAGTACCTGCTTAACAGCATCAAGTAATCTTTCTAGAAGATGTTGGCGTTCACTCTCTGCATTTTGAAGCTGGCCTTTACGAAAGAGATCGAGAAAAGTTACCAACAAAGAAGAATTCTGAGCTCAAGCTTGTGACGTGACAATGCATTATTCCGGAACACAGAGAAGGCGATGGTTAATAATTCAACTTACCGCTCATTATAGCTTTCTGAGAGGTAAGAAACATGCTAACCATCACAAGGTAAGTTTGTAACCCAAAAGACGGATGAATCCACTAGCATTTTCTATCTTTATCCATTTACAGTTTCGAAATTCAATATCTGTCACAACGCCGCCATGTTGTTTTGTTACCCAGTCTCTCTTGTCCACCTAATTTCACCGAGGAGGGTTAGGGACTGCAACTCCTCGTGGGGATCGGTGAGCGTTTGGAACCGTGCGAAAAAGAATTTGCTGCAATTTTCAGTTATTTCTCCGGGATAATTCTTCAAACAGGTGCGATATTGTGTTTTTCAAGTAGCAGCTTTATATGTCTGAAAATCAGCGAATAACAATGTTGCAAATTATCAGTCTGTGCATATATTATCCGCTTAGAAGCCGTGTTAAAACGAATTGTCATGCAACCCTATATTTTGGCTTTCTCGCCACGGAAAATTGACAGAAAGTTCTTTGAATGTTAAACTGAGTATTTCTTCCTCGCTTTCGTTCCTTATAGTTAAAAATGTCATCAGATGCGAAGGAAGAAAGCGGAAGTCATGTTGAAGATGGAGAGAAACCCCACTAAGTCCTTCTAAAGTCGTGCACGCTGGGCCGACCAAGCGTCGTACTTCTAGCGGCTCACCTGAGGCTTCCCCGCCTCACGGTAAAAAATTTCCTTTCAAAATACCTAGCCCTGTACCAACTCGACGAACAAGGACATCTTCACAGTGAGTACATAGCAATAAATGCTGTCAATTAGTGGATATAAGTGAAAATGGCAGGCAACCTCGTCGCTTTTTAGCGAACAGGAAAACTATTCATTGATCAGGTGTAATGAATCTGATCCAATTCCAAATCGTTTAACACCTTTTGAAGGGCGGTTAAATATCAACAGTGAATTGGGTTGTTTGTTCTCCCTTGTCAAGAAAATTTATCTTAGATATCTGTTTGTTTGAGCGCGATGTGTACTTGTTAAATCTAAGCTATCTGTTTGAGCTTCAACAACGCAATAGCCAGCCCATGTCACCTTGACCTTTGTGGCTTACAGTACAATGTATTTGGTATTTCTTTCATTTCACTTAAGACAGGGCGAAACAGAAACCAATAGAAATAAGCAAATTTACTTTGAAGAACACTAGCTTGGCACATTATACATCAACATATGATTTAAACATGATTCAGGGCATGGCTACTAGAATCGATGGTCGTTGGTTGGTACATTTTATAACTCACGACCTCTAGGATGAGTCCGAGGGAGAGAGAGGGGGCCGTCGTAGGATAGGACTATGCCAAAGAGGTTG